AAAAAAAAAAAAAAAAGATGATGAAAGAATACAGAAGGACAGTATACCAAAAAGAACTAGTCGACATTCAACCATTTTTGATGGTTGTACCATCAAAACTGATGTTTCTGAAGGAAAAAGTCCAAGCTGTATCAAAAGTATTAGCCCAAAACAAGGCTCCAGGAATTGATGGAAAATTCATTGAACAAACGTCTAAACAAACTGATGAAGCACTAGAAGCACTCACTTGTGTATGCCAAGAAATTTGGAAGACAGCTAGTTGGCCAACTGACTAGAAGAGATTCAGACTTGTACCCAATCCAAAGAAAGGTGACCCAAGAGAATGCTAAAATTACAGAACAGTTCATTAATACCACATGAAAGTAAAATTTTGCTGAAGATTAATCAACAATGGTAGAGCAGTATGTTGACAGGAAGCTGTCAGAAATTCAAGTCCAATTCAGAAAATGATGTCGCTTACGGGTTATCATTGCTGACATCAGATGCATCTTGGCTCAAAGCAAGGAATACCAGAAAAATGTTTGCTTGTGTTTTATTAATTATACAAAGGCGTTTGAATGTGTGAATCATAACCAACTGTTGGTAACACTGAGAAAATCAGAATTCCTGAACATTTCATTGTGCTCATGTGGAACCTGTACATGGACCAAGAGACACTCATCCTAACAAAACAAGAGAATACTACATGATTTAAAATCAGGAAAGATATGCATCAAGGTTGTATCCTTGTACCATCTTATTCAATCTGTATGCTGAGCAAAAAAATCAGAAAAACTGGACTATATATAGAAGAATGTTTATTAACAACCTGCTGTATGCAAATAACACAACTTTGCCTGTTTAAAGTGAGGATGACATGAAGCAACTGCTGATGAAGATCACAGATTACAGTAGGGATTGCAACTCAATGTAAAGAAAACCAAAATCCTCACATGGTAAAAGGAGTTAAAATGGAAGTTTGTCAAGGATTCTGTCTTGCTTGGATGTACAATCAATGCCTATGAAAGCAGCAGTAAAGATATCAAACAACACATTACACTGGGTAAATCCGCTGCACAAAACCTCTTTAAAGTGTTCAAAAGCAAGGATGTTACTTTGAGAACTAAGGTATGTCTGAACCAAGTCATGGTATTTTCAATTGCTTCGTGTGTACATAAAATTTGGATAAGGAAGACAAAGAAAAATTGATGCGTTTGAATTATAGTGTTGCAGAATGTTGAAAATGCCATAAACTGCCAAAAGAACAAAGAGATTTGTCTTGGAAGAAGTACAGCCAGAATGTTCCTTAGAAGCTAAGAGGATGAGCCTTTGTCTCATATGCTTTGGACATATTATCAGGAGTGACCAGTCCTTGGAGAAAGATATCGTGCTTGGTAAAGTAAAAGTGCGGCAAAAAAGAGGAAGGCACTTAATAAGATTGATTGATGCAGTAGCTGCAACAGTGGGCTCAAGCATGACAATTGTGAGGATGGTGCGGGATCGAATGGTTTAACATAAGGCTGCTGTGATTGGAACAAACTAATATCATCTGGCCACAGCAACAAGGAGTTATGTTGTCTTCAGTATGAACTATTTACAACTATGCTAAAAGCAAACTACAATGATAAGAAAATAGAAAAATGATGAAATAGTCTATGATGGCTCTCAAATCAGGGTAATTTTGTCACTTGGAGCACATTTAACAATACATGGGGATATTTTTCATTGCCCAAACTGTCAAGAGCCAGGAGCAGAGCATTCCATTTGGAACCGGGGTCTCTGAGCACCGCCTAGACCTAGACAGAGAAAGTGCATCAACAGGGAACTGTCGGAATTCAAGCTGTTTTCATAAAAGGACGTAGATGGGAAGATAGATCACTGATGACATCAGGTGGAACCTGGCTGAAAGCAGAAAATACCAGAAAGATGTTTGCCTGTGTTTTATTGACCCTGCAAAGGCATTAGACTATGTGGATCACAACATGTTACGGATAATATTGTAAAGAATGAGACTTCCAGATCATTGTTAGAATATTTTAATTTTTCCTGGATCTCAGTTTTATCCTCTACATTGAAAGTCAGCAAACTATGGGTCAAACCCAGTCCATAGATTTGTATTTTGTTTGTTTTCCAGTTTGTGGTGACCTTTGTGATCCTTATGTAGATACTTCAGTGACATGATAACATTCATCAGGTTGTGTTACCATCATCACTGTGCATACCCAAGTTGCATATCAACCCAAACAGAACCTCAGTACTTCTTCAGCAATAACTCCTAACTATCGAGCCCTAGTAGCCATCAATAAACTCTGTCTATTTGTCCATTCTATTTCATAGGGGTAGGATCATACAATATTTGTCCTTTTGTGTCTTACATCACTTAGCATGTTTTCAATGGTTAGCCATGTTGTGGCATGTAGCACAGCTTCAATTCTCTTTAAGGCTGAATTTCATTTCACATATGGATACATCACACTTTGTTCAACGAGTCATCCGTTGGTTGATTCTTGGGTTGTTTCCACCTTCTATCCATTGTGAACAAAGCTGCAATGAACAATGGTGTACACGTATCTTTTAAAGTCCTTGCTTTCCAGTCTTCTGGTACATACTAAAGAGTAGATGTGCTGGGTCACAGGCTACTTCTGTGTTTAACTTTGTGAGGAACTTCCAAATTGTTCTCACAGCGGTTACAGCATTTTATGTTCATACCAGCAACAAACAAGGGTTTAAATTTCCCCACATCTTCATCAACATATCTTATCTAATGAGAATAGTCATCCAAGTAAGTAATGAAATGGTATCTCACTGTGCTTTTGATCACCACCTAACTTGTTATATACAATATTATTTGAAACACAGTGATATAGTTAAAGTTTATTGTGCCAACCTGGCCGATAAACACATGTGGGGTTAATTGAAGTGCAGCGAGCCTCCCCTTTCTAGTTCTTGGGTCTCTTACTTTGGATGCTTGGACCAGAATGCAGCTGCCTTAGCCAGTTCCCTGCTTCAGCTGGCAAGGCTCACTTCCTTCAAGACATCCCTGAGGAGAAGCAGCATGCACCTACCCCGATGCAGCCCTGGATGCTGGAGCAGCCGTGTGAAAACCCCTGCCAGTGCTGAGATGCTTACACGTTCACTAATTCGGCTTTCCTCCTACAGTCAGCATCATAGTGTGTGTTTTGTGAAATGGAGGAGGACTTTGTGGATTGGTGTTGGACATATGGGTTAACGTTGGACTTGTGGGATTGGTCAGCACTGGGTTGGGATGTTTTCTTGATGTGTACCTAACCTTTATATAAAACTCTCTCTTATACATGAGTTTCTGTGGATTTGTTTCTCTAAAGTACCAAAACTAATACACACAGCCACCTCCACTCATTCACACACACACACACCACCTGCTTTCTTGCTATCAGGCAGAGTTGAGTAATTGAAACTGAACCCTCAAGGCCAAAATATTTACAGAAAACTTTCTGACCTCTGCTTTGAAATACATAAAACGTTTTAGAGTCTAAAAATCCTCTTATACCTTTAATACTGTACATTTCCTACCAAGAGCAATATTGAATAATATTATTATTGAAGCATAATTAGAAAAATAAGTGAATACCTTAATAGACTGTAAGATGCTGGTCCCTTGCTCTGTTTCAATATGGCAATTATCACATAAAATATTTTGGAGCTCTACACAACCAGATCCTGATGACTTGATATTCAAATCTAGAAGTGAAAAAAATAGAAGCAAGTTAGTATTGTGGTTAATGCTCTCCAATGCATTTTAGTAAACTTTAGAAAGCCAGCTCCTTATTCCTCGAAGTCATTACCACAATATTACTGAATCCTAGAGAGAATGCAACAGTCTCTCTCTAATAGGTTTCCATCTTCGCAACAGAACCATGTTAAAAAGTTGCTTCGGAAAATTTTTAGAAATAAAGTGGTGCTGAAAGGGATCCCATAAGGTTTTAGAGTGGGAGAAAAAAATGTGAAATAAAACTTTACAATCATCAAAAAGGCCAGGCTTACTGGTTGGATAGAACCCTCAATCTATGGTCCTTAGTTACTCATCTGGTCTGGAAAAGAACTCATCCCCATGGCTCAACTTTCTGCCAAACGATAGGTCTAAAAGGGAAACGATAACACCAATATAGTAAGCACACCTTAGACGAATCAACCATTCGACATCAAAAGGACAATATTTACCCCCGGGCAATGTTTAGAAGGATCAGCAGCAAAAACGAAAGAATGGAACAGGAAACAGAAGGATGGAGGCCAAGTTACACTGCTGGGATCGCAGCCAATGAGAAGAAACAAAATGGGTAAGAATTGTTAAATGGAAACTGATCTGCTCTGTAAATTTACATCCAATTCACAAAGAAACGATAAACAAACAAATAAACAAATAAATAAATAAGGCAATTGTTTTTTTCTGGTTCATATCATCTAGCTGTGCATAATGAGAGATAGATCTCAACCGCTTTATTCATTTGACAGGCTAATTTGCTACAAAGGTATCTTGCATACTATTGGTGGGAAGAGGTGACAATAACTGAAGTGAGAAGTGAAGGAGGAAAGATGCTCCAATTCTGATAAGCACGTCTGTGAAAGATCACGGAAGCCTCTCCTTCCAGGGAAAACACAAGCATACACAGAGGCAGCAACTCCAGGAAGAACACAGCAAGTTAACAAGGCATTATAATAAATCAGGTAAGGTAGTGCATATCGCAGGTGGAGCATGTAGCAATATGCAAGAATATGATCATAATTTTGAATTTCAAACCTCCTTCTAACCTTTCATGCAAAAAAACTGCACAACCATCACACGAGTATCTAAGTAATAAAAATGAAAGAATTTTGGTAACTATTTAAAAATATATATTAAAACTTAAGGTTGTATATAAATTATGATATCTATAGCATGTTTAGAAAATAAGGCAGTTACGGGTACCATCCTTGGCTATTAATTTAAGGTTCACCCATATATAAAACTATTTTTAAAAGAGCAACACAGATATTGAATACCTAATTTATGTACACATTGATGATGCTCCCTAAAATAGACTAGAAAAAACAAGATTTAAAATAATAAAAATAATATTTTGGTTGAGATTTAAGCTAACTAACCTACATGGATGTCAATAATAACTGCAAAATGTGTTATCCAGTTAAGCAGTGTAAGAATACAAGGCCTGACCCAAGGACAATGCTAGCAGATACAAAGAAAAGGAAATCAATTATAAGGCCACAAAGAGCAGGTAAGTGAGGGAAAGAGAAGTGAAAGGTAGACACAAGTGGTCGTAATGCTACTCTGATCCATTCACTGGAACAGGAGATAAACAAACTAGAGGAACACAAGAGTCAAGAAAGTTGTTATGTTGATTTCAGGTACCTAAGGAATAGACCTGAGGAAACAGTGAATTGGAAATAGAGTCTATCTGATGATTTCAAGGACCTCCTACACACACAAAAGCTGGAAAATGCATAAAGAAAACTTGGTGCCTTTGAACTACCGTGAGTACACAAACTGCCAGAAGAACAGTTTGGAAGAAGTACAACCCAGGATGACAAGGATGACAAGACTTTGTCTCATGTACTTTGGACATGTTCTCGAGGGACCAGTCCCTACAGAAGGACATCATGCTTGGGAATATTGATGGCCAGGGATAAAGAGGAAAGATCTTCAAGGAGATGGATTGAAACAGTAGCTGCAACAATGAGTTCAAATGGTTGAGGATAGAGGAGGACCAGGTAGTGTTCTGTTCTGTGGTCCATGGGACCACTGTAAGTGGAAACCGAGTCCACAGCACCTGGCAACAACCCCCACTAGAATGTAAGTTTCACGAATAAATGTTTTTGTGAAGTTACTATAGCTCAATTTCTTCTGAAATGGTAGCAATAACAGTATCTACAATATAGTGCAATGCTTAGGATTCCTTAAAAGTTATCCTAGAAATGTTATCTACAATTCTGATCATCAGCATCATTCTTCGGTCCCAAGAATACCTACCACATATCAATGAAAGTTTGCCAGGAAGGCGTACCATGTTTTTCTTCACAGTCCGACCCTCACGAGAAAATTTAAGGCAGGAAAAAGGGAGATATATCAGTCAGAAGCTGAGTGATTATTTGAAACGTTGGTGCAGGGTAGAAAACAAACATTTAATATATAGGGCTGTCTACAGGTCAAACACCCCAAGACTGTTGACAATGGGAAATATATATGGAATCTTGTGCCACTGGGTGGGTTAGCCAGAAATCCTAACCCTGGAAATTAAACCATTTTGTTAATGACCAAGTGCAATGACAAAACAGGAGCAAAGTGACACTGGAGAACACGTACATTATCTGACTTGTACTCATCTAGATCAGGTTTCTACTCAATTTATAAAATGCCACTTGTTGGGAATGTAATTCCTAATTCTGACGGGGAGCCGGCAAGTTGGTTCTGACTGATAACATTTTATACAACAGAAGGAAACACTGCCATCCTCAATCGTTGCTATGTTTGAGCCCATTGTTGCAGTCATTGAGGATTTTCCTCTTTTTATTTTTTGGAGCCCCTCTACCAACCATGATGTCCCTCCAGGGTCTGGTCCCTCCTAAGAATATAGCGAAAGTCCACGAGAGAAAGTCTTTCTATCCATCCTTCAAAGGAGCATTCTGGCTGTATTTCTTCCAAGACAGGGATGCTCTTCTGGTAGTCCATGGTGTGTTCAATATTGTGCATCCACACCATAATTCAAATGCATCAGTTCTCCTCCAGTCTTCTTTGCTGATTGTCTAGATTTCATACGCTCAGGAGACAAATAAAATTTCCCTGGCTCGGATGAATTGCACCTTAGTCCCCGGAGGGGCAGCTTTCCTTTTTAACATGTTAGGTCTTTTGCAGCATACAGACTGTGGAAGTATGGTGTATACATGACTGCTACCCAGAAACTCGGAATAAAACATCAGCGTATACGCGTGCCCTGAGAGCCAAACCCATTTCACTTGCCAAACTGCAGGGGTGCGTCCACCTCCACGGAGGCCCGGGGGTCGATGGTCTCGGACACGATGGACATCACCTTCTTCGTCTCGTCGTACCTCACCTGCAGGCTGTCCAGACCGTGCACCTCGCCCTCCACGCCAGACACCGCCACCAGCACGCGGTCGGAGTCCGGGTACCTGTGGGGGTCCAGGGGCCTCACGGTCAAGTCGCACGGGAGCTGCGTCCGCAGCGCGCCGAACGGGCTCACCAGCAGTGTCCAGGCCTTCAGCGGCCGCTGAGCGGGCCCGGGAGGGAGTTGGCGCCCGGAGCCGGGCCGGAGCTCGTTCCCGCCGGAGGCATACAGACGCGCCTGGTAAGGCCGACAGGTCCTGCGCTCGACCCACAACCACAGGTGGCCGAGCCGAAGGCCACCGCGCCCCGCACCCGAGCAGGGAGCGAACATGGCACGCCACGCTCGCGCCCCCTCAGATCGCCCCCGCCTCGGGGCTTAGGCACCGAGCCGCCTCAAGTCCACAGGGTCGTTTGCGAGCGTTTGCTGCAGCAAGAGTAAGCTCGCCCACTCTGCCGGACGGTTCAAACTGCAGCGGCGCACAAGCTGGGAGACTGCAGGTCGCAGCAACCAACCCAGACCCGGACTCCGCGTTTACGCTCGCCCTTTCGCGAAGGCCGATGGGATAGCTCACAGGTTGACCGGATCCGAGCGAGCAGAAAACTACAAGTCCCAGGAGGCATTTCGCAGAGCTGGCCGCTTTCTAAGCGCGAGTACTAGGCCGGGTTGGGGAGGCGTGGCCTCTTTGACCCAAGCCCATTGGTCACTGGAGAGGCGGGAAAAGGTGGATGAGAACTCATCTGACCAATGGAAAGCGGTAAAGTGGAAAGGTGGGCAGGTCTGTGTGCATGGAGTTTCCTTGGATACCGAGGACGCGACTTCTTCTTTGGAGAGGGAGGAGTTTTGGAGTGAGACGTAGGCGTTCAAAACCAAAGATAAATAGAACAGCTTAAATAAGAAGCAGGACCAAGGCGAAAGAAAAGAAACTGCTGTTTAAAAGGTGAGAGCCCTTGAATTAAATTAGGAGTATCCAATGTGGATGGTTAAACTCAAATTTCCTAAGCTAGTGCGGCGCCTTCTGGGAATGGAGGCTCACTTGGCAAGAGGATAAGGAGCCAGTTGGTACGCTGGGTTGATGCTCTGTGGGGGCGCGGGGGCTAAACCACTGGTAGAAAATTTAGGAATAGCTTTAGAGTCATGGTGCTTTCTGGACTCTAGGTGACCCTAGGCCACTTCTGGTTATTAATTGTTCATTCTTTTTTGCACTATCTCAAAGGGTTTTTTCTAAGGATCAAAAATAAAATAAAAGTGAGCATGTGTACAGTCTACAAAATTGCAATATAACGCACTATATATTTTAGGCCACTCAGTTTCAAAGAAAAATTGGAGCGATCGGGACTTGTTTGGGCAACAAAATTGATTGCTTTGGTTACTAATGATCCTTGGACTTAGGGCCAATAGAAAATACAAGAGTGCCAACCTGATGCTGTGGAATGAGCAATTTTTTACCCCCTGACTGACCTTGTTCTTTCTGGTATCATCTGAACCTATTTATTCAGTGTTAAAATGAAGGATTGTATGAAATGGCTCTGTGAGATTTTCTTTACTTATTTACATTTTATTATTCTATAACCTCAAATAAATTCACTACAAGTTGATTTTGACTCATAGTGACCCTATAGGGCAGAATAGAACTACCCCTTTGTGGGTCAGAGACCAGATCTTGAAGTGGGTCGACAGCCTTCTCCTTTATTAGTATTCTACATTGGTGGTGCTAGGTGCCATCCAGTAGTCTGACTCATGGCAACGCCATGTACAACAAAACAAAACACGGCCTGGTCCTGCATCATCCTCACAATTGTTCTTTTGTTTGAGTGTTTGCTGCAGCCACTGTGCCAATCTGTCGTGTCGAGGGCCTTCCTCTCGTTCACTGCTGCCCCTCCACTTACTCTATAAGTAACAAAGCAGAAAAAGATTTATTTCCCCCTTTTCTTCGCAGTCTCATCCTTCCTGTGCCCCTACCTCTGTAAGGTTCCTGGGATGGTTTACCTCGGTTCTTGCTTCTCAATGCTGAAAGAATTCACTCAGCAGAAGCACTTTTGTAAATTCAAGTAAGTTTTATGAGGGAATGGGAAGCTTCAGGCATTACAGTCCCAGAAAAGACATGCTATCTCTGGAAAGTGTGCAAGGTCACACAGGGGACCGAGCAAGAGTTTGTGACTGAAGATGGGCACTTCAGAGGGCATGGGGGGGGGGGGCGTGAAAAAAAACCAACCATGCCAGAACAAGAGCACGAAACCAACGTACAGAGCAAAGAGGCCGACTGCCCTTGGTCCCTGCTTTTATCCCCTCCTACACTACTTGAAGGGGTATGGCTGAGGGTATTGGCCGATCTTAGTGGCTGAGTTCAGGTGCCCCTGTGATGTGATGTCGCTGGTGCCTAGTATGCAAGCCCAGGTTGCCCTTCACCTGGGCCTAGGTGGCTTGTGACCTGGGTCTGAGCATGCCCAGCTTTGGATTGTCCCCTTAGGTATCTAATGTGTGCCTGATTTCTTTGCAACCCCTTTATTGTGGCACAGCTAGCTAATTTTCCTTTAGGGTAGGCTTTGGATGGAGACAACCCCTTTCACCCCTATTTTTTTACCTGCCACCTCCTCCTCCAAATTATTCCCTATGTACTTTAGCAAAGACACTGCTGTTTTAGGGCAGTGCTTCTCAACCTGTGGGTCACAACCCCTTTGGGGGGTCAAACGACCCTTCCACAGGGGTTGCCTGATTTATAACAGTAGCAACATTACAGTTATGAAGTAGCAACGAAGATAATTTTATGGTTGGGGTCACCACTCCATGAGGAACTGTATGAAAGGGTCACGGCATTTGGAAGGTTGAGAACCACTGTTTGAGGGTACAAAAGAGACCCCGATCTCAAATACAGCTTGAGAACACTGACTAAGTCTTACAAAGAACAAAGGCAACACAAAAGACGCCAACACATCACCTGGATGAGGGACACCATTAGCAGGAGGTCCTAATGGCATCTGGAAATTCACTCGTTTCATAAGGCATGGCGCAAAGGAAACCCACTAGTTCGTGATGGGGCAGATCACTATTTCACAGTTACAGGTGGCACCACAGAAGCAGGACGTGTATATTATGTTATTGAAAAGAGTTTGCAAGATTGGTGCAGGGCACTCCAACCAAGGCAATGAGGGCACAACCCATGGGGGTAACTCCTGGCTCTGTAACCCTTTGTGCCATCCCCAGTACAGTCGTCTCCATCAAACACACACCCAGCAAGCCTGTAAAAGAAGACTGCCCCTCTCTGGGCTATGTGGAGAGGGGTGGAGGTAATCCACTTTTCAAAGCATTCTGCCTGAGGACAGGATTGTCTATATCCTTGCTTACTGCTCAGAAGAAATTCAATAGAGGCTTAACTACTTGAGAACTCTGCAAATGAATTTTGAGTTTTCATTGCCATCCATAGCCTCCTGCAAACTGGGTGCTCAAAAGTTAAGCCCTAATACTGCAAGTGCTGAAACTAAATGTGTTCAGTAATTGAAGACTGCAAAATACCATGACTTGGTCCATTGCATCTTTGCCCTCAAAGTGATGACAGCTTTGATGCTCAACACTTTCAGTAGGTCTTGTGCAGCAGCTTTGCCCAGTTGATTTCTTGACTGCTGTTTCCATGAGTGTTGATGGTGGATTCAAGTAAAATGAAATCCTTGACAGAGAGAGATTCATACATGATGTTAAAAGGTTAGTGATACTTCAATAAAAGTCAAGTCTGTGCTTGCACATATGTCCATACTGAGTAATGAAAAGACTACCTTTTGTCTGTATAACATAATAGCTTCAAAGTATATCCACCTGCATTATCTCAATGTATGTTCATCAAACACTGTGTTTGCTGCAGCAGATTTTATCATCTTTACATGGTTAGACAAAGAAAGAGATTCTAAAAGACTAAGATTTATTCATGAAACTCAGGTCCAGAAGTTTGGGGTGGGGAGTAGCGGGTAAGGGAAGGCATGTTGGTCTCAGAAAAGGTGATTTCACTTCTGCTGGTGGGTAAACCTTAGTGGACAACCTGCCATTGAGATAACTGGCAATGCCAAACATTATTTGTAGAGACCCCCAATGGGAAAAAATGCCCTATATTATGTTCCTAATCAGGCACTTTTGACTGAGTTGCTATCCAGCCCTTGGTGACCCAGGCTACATATTATAGACAACCAAAACGTTAGACTCTGCCCTTTCAGGGTGCACAATATCCTTCATAGGCCACACCAGAAGAATCCAATTTAGAACTCTCACTAAGCAAACTGGATTTTACCTTTAGCACACCTATAGCAGATTAAAGAAACAAGTACTCCCTCGGACTTAAGACTGAAACGTGCAAGTGTAAGAAGCAAAAGGTGACCTCTATTCCAAGGTTATGGATGTCTTAGAAGTCATTGGACGTTGGATCAAATCACTTGCATTGAGGATGTCCAATAAGTGACAACTTAATACAACCACGTTTGCCATTTTCATGCTCTTTTTTTTAAAATTTAGGACATGCCTTAGTCCAGCAGGCATAGTTCTGCCTTTTTGAATGAGCATTGTTGAAAGTTTTGCCCAATCGCCAACTCTCATTAAGTAAATAGTGGCCAGTCACTTACATTTTTAATCTGTACTCGTCAACAGTTCAAGTATTTTGGCCTAAAAAGATACTAACCACAAGGTCAGTAGTTCAAAACTAAGTTATTATTTTTTTAAGGATTTAATATAAGCATAAAATTAGAAATGTGCAAAAAATATATGAGGAATTTTGTGTTACAGTTATTTATAATAGTAAATAACTGAATAAAATGAAGTGCCAATGATAAAAAAAACTCAAATCAAACAGATCCACAATAAGGGCTCATGGAAATAGTTGTCAGATACTCAAAAGACACATTACATGGAGCAGATCTTCTGCAGAAGACCTCTTTAAAGTGCTGACATAGAGATATCACTTTAAGGATGCAGGTGCACCTGACCCTCATGCACTGGATTGACACAGTGGCTGCTGCAGTAGGCTCAAACATAGCAGTGGGTGTAAGGATTAGGAAGGACTGGGCAGGGCTGGTTCCAGTTCTGTTTTACAGAGGGTTGCTTTAAGGGGGAGCCAACGGAAGGACACCTAACAATAACAGAAAACCTGTTTCCACGGAGCCATTCCCAACTCCGGCTGTGCCCATGAGCGTAGAACATGTACAACAGCTCCATAACAATCGTACAGAACCGCGGTGAACTGCTCCTTAGGGTTCCTGAGACTAAATCTTTATAGCAGCAGCAGTCTCATATTTGAAAGAATGGCTGGTGGTTTTGAACCAATAGCTTTGTGGTAAGCAGCTCAACAATTTATCACTGTCCTACCAGGACTCTTTCAGAAGTGCCCTCTATGCCAAAACCAAGCCAAATTCACTGCCATCGAGTCTATTTTGACTCATTGTGACCCATGTAGGGCTTGTGATGCTATCAATCTTTATGGGGGTACAGGCTCATCTTTCTCCCATTGAGCATCCAGTGAATTCACTGTCTGATTGTGCATTTAGTAGCCCGACTCCTTACCCACAGCATACCCAGGACTCTTGGAAGTACTCCATGGGGCTCAGCAATAAAAGTTATGAAATAAACGTGCATATGGAATACTATGCAACCATATAAAATTAAATGTCTGAAGACCATTCAATGGTACGGAGAATATTCCATAATATATTGTTACATAAAAAACATAGAATGCCAAATTGTATCTACAGTGTGAGCCTCACTCTGTAAATATAATTATTTAAATAAAAGTTATATTGTAAAGAGGCAATTCCAGAGAGAAATATAGCAATTGGAAACCAGAATCATTTCTCAGCAAGTTGTCATCTCTGAAGTTTATGTGATTTCTTCATTTAAAAAAAAGGTTTTCCCGTTGTTAATATCAAAGCATTTCTTAACATAAATTGTTTCCTAAAACTGACTAAA